CAAAAAGCTCGCGGAAAAAATTCAGGAGAACTCGGAATTCGGTGCGTGGTTGCAGTCACCTACACCTGAGACATGTGTACCGAAGCTCTGGGATGAGGAGAAGCCGTTATCACCCACAGGAACAGCAATGCACCAATTGCTGATAATACAAGCTTTCCGACCGGATCGCGTGATAGCAGCCGCGTCTCTAGTAGTGGCCTCTGCTTTCAATGAATCCTTCATGCCGGCCGCGGAGGCCGAACTCGATTTTGCATCCGTTGTAGAGGACCAATTGAAAGCGACTGTGCCGGCTTTATTGTGCTCAGTACCGGGCTTTGACGCTTCGGGCAGAGTCGATGATCTAGCAGCAGAATTGGGTAAACAAATAGCCAGCATCGCTATTGGGTCGGCGGAAGGATTTAATCAGGCTGATCGGGCTATAAACATGGCTGTGAAGGCCGGCAGATGGGTGCTGTTGAAGAATGTACATCTTGCTCCGCAATGGTTGGTGCAGCTGGAAAAGAAGCTTCACAGTCTTCAGCCGCACACTAGTTTCCGACTGTTCCTAACGATGGAGATTAATTCTAAGGTGCCAGTGAATCTATTAAGAGCTGGTAGAATATTTGTGTTCGAACCGCCTCCTGGCATACGAGCAAACTTGTTGCGCACATTTAGCACCGTTCCCGCTTCAAGAATGATGCGAGCACCCAACGAGAGAGCCCGTCTCTACTTCCTGCTCGCGTGGTTCCATGCAATCGTGCAGGAACGTCTACGTTATGCGCCGTTGGGCTGGGCAAAGCATTATGAATTCAACGAGAGCGATTTGAGAGTCGCCTGCGACACTTTGGATACATGGATTGAAACTACGGCTATGGGCAGGACAAATCTGCCGCCAGAAAAGGTGCCTTGGGATGCTCTAGTGACTCTTCTCTCTCAATGCATCTATGGTGGCAAAATTGACAACGACTTTGACCAACGTCTCTTGGCTTCTTTTCTGCGCAAACTCTTCACTCCGCGCTCATTTGAAGCCGATTTTGCCCTTGTCGCCAATATCGACGGCGCCCAGAGTAATCAAAGACACATCACGATGCCGGATGGCACTAGACGTGACCACTTTTTAAAATGGATCGAATCACTCTCGGATAGACAGACACCTTCCTGGCTTGGCTTGCCGAATAATGCGGAAAAAGTGCTTCTAACCACAAGAGGAACTGATTTGGTTTCCAAGCTTCTTAAGATGCAGCAATTGGAGGATGAGGACGAATTGGCGTACTCGAACGAGGAGTCTCTAGATACGCCAAGAGAAGCTGAAGCAGATGGTCGACCATCTTGGATGAGGACCTTGCATAACTCGGCTTCCACTTGGTTACAATTACTTCCAAAGAATCTACCGACCTTGAAGAGAACAGTCGAGAATATCAAAGATCCATTATATAGATACTTCGAGAGGGAAGTCAATAGTGGAGCGAAATTACTTCAAGATGTTATCCACGACTTGGAGGATGTCGTATTAATTTGTCAAGTAAGTGTTTTACTTCTATTTTATTACTCTCAAATATAAAATATGTTAATTGTATTTTATGTATTTTTAATAGGGTGAGAAAAAACAGACCAATTATCATAGAACAATGCTGTCTGAATTAGTAAAAGGTATTCTGCCCGGTGGTTGGAGGAGGTATACTGTGCCAAGAGGCTGTACAGTCATACAATGGATTACCGATTTTAGCCACAGGGTTTCGCAACTGCAGGAAGTCTCGCGTTTAGTCTCCCAAGGCGGTGCGAAGGAGATAAAGGTTTATTTCAATTTTCATCATTTCCTTACATTTGCTTCACTGTTCTAGAGATTTTATCACTGAATGATATTAATTATACTATTTTTCAGAAATATGTTTACTCTTCATTGAATTCGCTCAAATTGATTCGATATAAAATTATCAATCGATTGTGATTGGTTTCAGAGTTTCCCAGTTTGGCTGGGAGGTTTGCTGAATCCTGAGGCTTATATCACCGCAACCAGACAATGCATCGCGCAGGCTAATAGCTGGTCACTCGAGGAATTGCAATTAAATGTAACTATCGGAGACGGCGATAACATTGCCACGGATGATTGTTCATTTGCTGTTACCGGTTTAAAACTACAAGGTGCGCAATGTAAAGATAATCAATTATATTTAACTTCGACTATCATGACTGATTTACCAGTCACTATGCTAAGATGGGCGCGATCATCTACGGAGGATATCAGAAAGGGCAAACTGTCCTTGCCGGTCTACTTGAATAGTACTCGTACCGAACTTTTATTTACTGTCGATTTGAATATCGCTCCTAGTCAAGAACCGCACAGTTTTTACGAGAGGGGGGTTGCTGTATTAACATCCACCGCTTTAAATTAATAATTGCTTAATAATTAAAACTGTTTAGAGCAAATTGTATCGTATGTGAAGCAAAGAATGCTATCACGATAAATTAAAAACAGTTTATGACACATTGCATGTTACGATACATTACATGCCATCGTTTGTAAAGAAAAGAAGGCATAGTAACATGCAACTCATTACAAACCTAAAAACATTAAAACTATAAAAACATTAAAGAAATATATATATTTTACACTGAATTGCTTTCGTATCTCCAAAAGATTTTGTGCTGATTGTATAATTAGGAACGAATACTTTTGACGTATAGAGCATAATTAAGTGTACATCATTCATTTATTAGAATTAACATTTTCATGCAGGAGGTTGTAATATATATATAGTTTATTTAATATTGTGTACGTTCAGATATAAATATGTATTCTGTAACAAAAGGATTACATTGCGTTTGCCCAGATGTAAATCAGTTTATAACATCTTACTAGCATCTAATAAAGTCGTATTATAATATCACTTTGTTTTCACTATTTGTAATCAACGTTCATTATACATATTTTGTTTATTTTTTTATGATCAGTCTTTTTATCGATCCTATAACTTATTCTTATTTACCATTAAATTATCTTAGTCCGAATTTTAATACAACAGCCTCTATATGTTCCTTATGAAAAATAATCTCAGTCGAATTGCTCCGTTTTGAGAGATATTTTGATATAGTTTATAATTCTAAATAAATGTCTCCACTGCTACAATTACAGAAGATTAAAGGGTAAAGAAATATGGAGCTCTAAAGTCATAAAATTTGATTGCTGCCATGTTTATTTCAGATAATATGATGCTTTTACGTATAATGAGTATATGTACGCGTGTATTTGTAAACATTTAAGCATGTATATTCACACGTAAAATATTATGCTTTCACTGTGGAGGAGAATTAGAGACCAAACGGTTATCGAACTAGATAGATGCTCTGTCCACAGATCATCGTTTGACTGCCAGTTTTCTAATTCTCGACAATGAAAGCATAATATTTTATTATCACTTTCCAAATAATAGAAACCCAGCAGTTGTTAATTTTTTTTCAATTTCTAACAAACTTGCTTTAGGTTATTTGTGATTCTAATCGGGCAGCATAACAGTCATAATCAACTCTTTGAAACAGTTCGATCAGTAATTCCATTTGTTGAACCAACATTCTTTCTATCTTTTGTTTTTCATCCATTGGACAACTGCAGAAAAATATCCAGCAGTGAAATTCGAACCGAAGCCCAATCTCCTCTGCACTACGAAACATGTGTCTTTGCTATGAATCGCACCGTAGCTTCTGTTGTGTTTACTTCTATTTATTTCTTACAATTATATAGTAGCCAAATGGTGATCTGTGGTAAAGTGGTGTAGTAAAGTAAATAATTATCCTTATCTGATTTTAAATAAAGGAATAGAATTCGTAAGCAAGATTACAGGGAAGACATACAATATCAGAACAGTCAGCATTTAAGAAAATATATTTATTCCACATACATTCAGTACTCTAAACACGAGTAACGGAATTGTGCTAGGATCCGTACATGTATCTGAACAAATCGTTTAAGTTTAGACCATCGTTGATGTTCGATCATTGGATTGTCTTCTATCTGCCATTCGTAAAAGTGGTGATTGTGACGTTCACGACAAACAAAGCAATGTTCTGTATTTGGGATATGGAGGGTGTCGTGTATTATGAGCTGCTTAAACCGAACGAAACAATTACCACCGTTATCAACAACAATTGGAACGTTTGAATGATAATTTGATGCAAAAACGACTATCGATTGCATCAAATCGTCGAAAGGTGATTTTATTCCATGATAACGCTCGGCCGCATGTTGCTATAATCGTGAAACAAATACTGATGGATCTCGAATGGGAGGTTCTCCCGCACCCAGCGAATTCTCCGGGCTTAGCACCAAGCGATTATCATCTATTCCGATCGATGCAATATGCTCTGGAAGATACACACTTCCATAATTATAGCGAAGTCGAAAATTGGGTTGCTGAATGGATTGATTCAAAGACAGACCATTCTTTCGTCATGGAATTCAACTTCTGCCTGAAAAGTGACAAAAAGTCATAGCTTCCGAGGGAAAATACTTTGATTGAGGTATTCATATATTGGATCATCTAAAAAGTATCTGCGGTTTTTTGTCACTAGATGGCGTTAATGGTCAACACATCTAGTGACAAAAAATCGCGGATACTTTTTAGATGACCCAATATTTTGTTATTGAAATAAGTGCTCAAATACAAAGAAAAAACAGTAACTTTTAATGCAACCCCCTAATATATCGATTTTAAAGGGTAATGATTTATTATAACATATGACTTATATATTCAACGAACTTAATAAAAAAAAAACGGTTGCAATAAAAAAATTAAAATATAAATCTTTAATTGCAAGGATCATAATCACGTATATTTTATTATTTTTGCAATAGTCTCAATGCAATTCTAGACAAACGCGTTATACATTACATTTTAATAGAAAGGCTAACTTGTTTTTTTCTTTATTGAGTTAACTCGTGTGACATTTCTCTTTTATCGTGCTCTTATCGTATGTACAAGTGGATATGTGAGAGTATATGGAAAGTTATTGAGAGAAACAACATCTTTCTCTTTTGAAATTTTATTTTGTATTATAATTGTCGTTATCATTACATGTGTATCTCTAAGTTTTGTACAATATAATGTCAAAGTTATTTTGCCCAGGGTACACGTCCAATTATCACAAATGCATTTTACTGCAGATATGTAAAAAAAAAAGTCGAACATCCGAAAGTTCGTAGAAAAATGTGAAAATATCTATGTTGTAAATATGCATTTGTGATACAAAAATAAAATTAACATCTATCATAAAAATAAGTATACAAAAATATATATATATATGTATGTGTGTGTTAATGCATGTGCATATTTATATAATTGTGTACTAATAGAACAGAATAACTTTGGACAAAGAGAAAGTAATTACAACGAGAACATTTATATTAGAAAAACGATTACAACACGAAAATGCAAAATTTTTGGTCTCATTTCTTCTCATTGTTGAACACACACTATTATAATTCAGCTTCATTAACACAAAAGAGATCGTCCACGTCGAAAGAACGACTATCATATTTGATAGAACATTATCTTCATGGATAATTATTGTATGTACGCACGTTTCTATACCAACACCTCATATTAGTTTCTATATATTTGTGAAATGAAGCGAAATATAGTATTATAATAATGTTTCATTTTGGAATTATTTCGGATTATTCAGAAAATAAGAATTTTACAATATTTCCTTGTTCCTATAAACGTAGAATTACCCTTGAAATATACATACGTAAATGTATATTTTTTATATGTAACTTTGCTAAGCTCAATGAAGCCATTATATTGCTGATGTTTAAAAATGATGTATTCCCCTCTCTACGGAAATACGCTAATTTATTTTGCATAATATATACAAAATATATTCGCAGATAAATTAAATATTAAAATGCAATTCCTATACTAATTTTACATAAATATATACACACAAGGTGTTATAAAAACCGTAACATTTAAATGGAGATTCCTGAGATCATCTTGAGAAAATATAATATCAAAACAAAATGTCGAGGCTATTTTTTCAATATAATAAATATCAATAAATTTAAATTTACACACGCGTAATTTTTATATCGATTTCAACAAACAAGAGATAACAATTAGCTTTCGTTTTTAGCACTTTGTATTGTCTCACGCCTGAAATACAAATTTTAGTGATTCGCTAACTTTAAATTATAATTCAAAAACTATTATAGTCTCGACATTTTGGTATTACAATTTTCGTCTTAATATTCTCTACTTTTAAGCTGTTATGGTCTCTATCGGTCGCCCTGTATATATACTGAATTGTTTCAGAATTTCGATGCTAATTGTAATTAATCAATTCGTGGATATAAACTTAGAATTCTCAACTTTTAGGAACTCGATTCAATTGTGTAATTGTGGATCACTTGTATGTGTGATTGTTTCTTTATGCCTTTTATATAAAATGATCAAATCTGAGGTTTATTCAATGTATAATAACCTTATGTGAAATAACTTATAAATATCTACCAATGTAGTCGTAAAGAGCTACCTTTATATACTATCGAGTATGCCAAAAGTTCTTTCTTGTGTTTCATAATCTTAGAATTACTAAATTTATTAATTATATTACGAAATAATAATAACGACACGTACATTTACATTAACAAATTCTTACGTTGCATTTCTTTAAGGATACTTTAATTGTCAGCCATATTAATGAGAGCTTACCTCATATTGTGTAAGAGCGATAGATCAGGAGCCTTGAATTTGAATATTGTGTTAATTTTGTATCAACGTGGATTAATTTTTATCAACCATACCCTGGAGTGCTTAGATTCGTTATGATAAAGGTTCATATATTTCACTTATGGACAGTGATGTGTTTAATCATTTGCAGTACGTTAATATGTGTAAACGGAATTTCTATTGTAACAGAAATTAGAAAAAGATTGGCAGATTAAATTCTGAATTTCTTCATTAATTTATAATAGAAAGACTAACAAAGTTAGTTTACTAACATTCAGCACGAAGAAAAAGTATATTACTGCGCAATTTGCTATTGAAGAAAATTCAATACAGATCAAAAGAAATGTGACGATTATTTTAGAAACAATTCTACATATTGATACAAACATTAACGCTCCAAGAATAACGATTTCTATCTACAGAATGTCGATAAAGTCTGTCCTCATCTCCTATATTTCGAAAACGATTTAAAATTATAAATGAAATACGTTTTCTACAAAATTATTTTTAGACTTGACCTCCTAAACCAGACTCATTTTATAACGGAGGTTTTTATTTTTCTCTTTGCATACGAACATTTAGCCCAATATACCATTTCAATCATGAACTAAACGCAGAAATATTCATAATCTATATTTGTATATGAATATATATCTTATTTCTCATCATTACATAATACTAATGACTAGACTTCATGCCGTGTTGCTATTTGTACTCGTACAATGGTGCCGCTTTATCTTTGACTTCCACAAAATCCTTTTCGACAAATGTTGCAATGGAAACAATATAAATTCGAAAATGTTCAAATAGCAACGTTCCGTTGCAGGTACAACCTATTTCTTCTGATTTTAACAACTTCCTGTATTTGCGCTATTCAATAGTTAAAATATGAAAACTTGTGATATGCCACATATGTATACATCGACTAACAATTTTTGCAATACCGATTACGTAGCTATATGTATTTTTATATATATATATATATTTAAATATAGGAACATTTATTACTTGTACAACGATTACAAAAAGTACATTCACTTGTTAATATTACAACAGAATATCCTTTCTATTGAGACCATAATAACCGTGAAAAGTTAATATTTCATTAACAAGAGCTTCAACGTTATATAGTTTGTACCTGCTAATCGGTATGCTACATGAGTCATGTCATTTAGTTTTGCATGAAAATGTCAGTCTTTATAATGATGATAAGTAGAAAATTTTATCAGAATCCGATTATTTATCACAAGGATAAAGACACTATGAGATGTACACTTGTACAGTAAGTTCAACATTCTTACGACATACGCCGCATATTTTCATATTTTTCGCACACTCTGCACACGCCAATAAATGTCCACATGGCATAAATACAATTCGTACTTCTCTACTATAGCAAATTTTACATAATCTTGCATCCTTGTCGCATGGTTTGTCACCCTGTGATTGGACAGATTGTTCCTCGCTTTTAGCTTCACTTGATACAGCACTTGCTTCTGTATTATTAGTTATTTCAGAACTGATTGAATTTTGAGAACTTCCGCTGGCAGTACTCTCACTATCAGCCTTCTCTAATTTTTCATTCAATTTATCAACTTCAGGTATGTTTTCCTACGCGAAAAAATAAAACAATTTAGAATTAATTATTATATTATGCATTCAACACAATTTCATAATTAAAATATTTATTATAAATATATTAATTATTACAAATTGTATAATTCTATTAACAATAAATATATTTTATTAAATGCTTACTGCTCCGATATATGTTCTCCCCGTAATGTTACTCACAAACTCTATTCCTTTAGTCAAAAGTAGATAAGGACAGTAATCGAACCATTTGGCATGCTCCACCCAAGGATCATCATTTGGCTCCCAATCTCTTAATCCTCCACCACAATGATAACATAATGTTTGATCGCCACTTCCAGTGTAATAGAAACCAGCAGTTGCCAATTCTTCTTTAGTTTGTGACATTGCTTTAGGCCATCTATCATACGATGCTAATCTAGCAGCATAACTAGCGTATTCAGGATGCTTCGGTCTTGATGTGAGCTCTTTCAATGTAGAATTCACTCTTTCTTCAATTTCTCGATCTTCATGATCTGGACCGGAAAAAGGCATGTATATTGAGCCATAAGGTCCACATACATCCATTCCTTTAGGTACAGGCGCTGGAATTGCGCTAGGATCCGTACCGATCGGCACATTGCCGCATGGTATTTTACGAATAAACCTACATTTTCCAGACCACCGCTGATGATCAACCATTGGATTGTCTTCTTCTCGCCATTGGCATATTTCTATATTACATTCGAAACATTTCACTTTGTCGCTTTCGCCAGTATAAAAAAATCCAGCCGCCGCGAGTTCCTCTGGCTTTGTCCACGAACATGGCCAGTTTTTAAAGCTGGTCAAACGAGCGGATTCAAATCGATAATCTAAAGACATCGATGATCCATTATCAACTTCGTCTTCTTCGATAAATATATGAGACTTTATTGGTGATTTTCGTTGCAAATGGTTTCGAGAAAAGATACATTGTTCGATATATTCAGTCATTTTTGTATAATTATAAATTTTGTATATAATTTTGTATATAATATAATTATAAAGCTGTTTCCTGTGAACCTGTAACAAAAAAATATTAGGTGTTGGAATTAATTCGTAGCGTTTTACAAGTGATGGGAAGTACTTTCATTAATGTATTTTTTAATGCTCATGTGAAATAAATAACATTCTTTCATTAAAAACGCTACGAATTAATTCCAACATCTAATAAATGTCAATAGATGCTGAAATTTTATATAATAAAAATTCACTGACAGTTTTACTTCATACTTGTATATAATTTGGGACAAAATGTTGATAAAAATACAGTAAAAGCTGCGCTTTTACCCGGTATTTGTTAATATTAAATTATGTTAGAAAAAAAAACAGCAATATGTTAATACGAGTATTTTTTGTGTCAATTTACTATTTATTTCTGATTGAATTTGTTATCACTGCTGGTATATTGTAGACAGTTGATTTATTAGCAGACATTTATTAATTAATTTCATTAATTATTATGAAAATTGTAAAATGGCAAAGGATTTTTCTATTTGATTTAAACTTCTTACTGTCCACGAGAGCAGTGTTACACTTTTTAAAACCTCTGTATAATATTTAAAAACTATTATAGCCTGGACAATCACAGGCAATATTTGAAATATTTTTCTTGTCTCTTTCACTTTTCTTTTTGTGCAAAATAAATAGTATAAAAAGTATAAAAAGTATAAAAAGTTACAGATAATTAATTTTACTTTAAGGAAGGAAGCTAAAAGAAAGCACATCAGGTATAAAATACCTTCGAAATACGTGCTTCCTGTTTAAATATTCACATCTGTTGAACATTCAAGAAATATCAACGTGTGAAAATACATCGAGGTGAATTTTGTAGTTTAATATATCGATGTTGAATAGCGATAATATGAATAATTATAATATATATAACAATAACGAATAATACAAATAACTGTACATGTTTTTTTAAAGTTACTTACATAGAGATTTACACCCCAACCTCAATTTTCATTGTTCTCTTCGATTATTTACTATAAAAATTAAGATATTAATAATATTCTATATTTCTTTTAGATTAAAATAAGCGCAAAATTTCTTCTTTAATTTCTTTAAAATAATTGTTGGGGCATATTATTTTTTACATTTCACGCGAATGTTAATAAAATATAATATAATAGTAATAAGATTTTTGAACAAACAATAATCATGGCACACTTGAATCGCTATTTTAAACATATGCCATGCATAAACATAAATGTCTCCTATATAAGTATATACGTGCAAGTTCATGCATTAATCATTTTTGCATTTATATATATTACAGCGAATGTAATCTAGCCACAAAATCATTGCTATCGACGAGAAAGTAGACTTCCTTATAAAACTAGCAATGCGTTCGGAAGACTTGCAGCTGCGACACCCGGTACATACATCGAATGCAATGTTGCCGCTAACGCGGCCTCTATTTCTGTTCGTCTTATTACATTACACAGGAACGTGACGCGGAGTGAATTGTAACGGTAGGACCGTCTGCAGGCAATAAACGTGCCCCGGTCTTCATTCCATTTCCATTTTTTTCTATGTCTCCCAATGTCAAAATGATAAATCTCGAGAAACTTCGAAACGAAAGAATACTTTATCAAAAATACTTGGTGATGTTTAATACATTAGAAACTTCGGCGAGCTGAAAATTATTTTGAGAATTATTTTGTGAATTCTCACGTTAAAAAGTATCGACAATCCAAAGTATTTAGTCACACGAAACATAGAGTACAGCCTGTGTTGCAACGACATAGTTTTCAGGGAGAGATCAGGCTGGATCTTAAGTTTGAGTTTTTCTAGCAACATTCCACAAGTCCCGCATCTATAATGAATTGATAGTCTGCAGTCGATGAATCAGGAACCTGAAAAGTCATTGATAGATCAGGATTGATTGAAATCGGAAAATTTAAGAAGTTGAAAAGTAGCCAACCGCGACTGATTTATTGCAGAGATGTCGGTCTTGTGGAATGTCAACCGTATTCGAGAAAGAGAAAGAGCTAGGCGCTGTTAACTCCACAGGATATTTCAGGCAGCGTATCAAGAGGAAATGTCTCGGTCATGGTATCATGAAATTGTATCTTGCAGCTTAACCTTTTATTCAACATATATGTACGTCTCGCTAGTGTCGCTCTAGGGAACGTCTTTTGTCTCCTATTTGTTACAGTCGAGGCGCGTCATGCGTTGGCGTTTCAACAAAAAAAATGGCCTTGGAATATAGGCACATACAGTCTATGCTGCAGTCTGTGTCAGATCGCAATTGAAGAATTTGAGGAGATTAGAATTCGATTAATTCGATAATTTTAATTTTAATTCGTTTTGTTCTAATTGGTTCGAATTCTAATCTTCAATTTACAAATCTTACAAGAACATGTCTTGCGAGTCTTATTCTGCTTAGAATTGATCCGTTACTGTATATAGATAGGCGATATATAGAGTGTCGTTACAAAACTCTCGACAGTCATTATTTAGAGTACAATTATCTATTGGCTAAGAATCGATTAGATGTCTTCACAGATTTCTTTCTTTATGCTTGGTCTTTATGTTTCAACTAATTAATCGCTTCGAATTAGACACAATAATAATCATTATTTGCTATTCAGTTTTTAATTTTGAGGTTCTATTTGGGAGTTCTGTTTTTTTTTTCCATAAAAATTTCCTCTCATTTTATTCGTATCATCGTTTCTTACTAATTTTGCTGAAGTCAGTCATTATGAATCAGTCATTATGAATCGGCGAATAAATCTGAGGATAAATGCACGAAGTCCACATGTCTGTTTTGCAATATTTCGTGTAATCGCAAAATGACACATTGATGCCGAACGTCATGATATACAGGGGAGGCATTTATCGTTCAGATTTCAGAGAATTACAATGACATCAGCGCAAAACCTTCTTTAGACGCTCGCGTCTTCTTCATTATTTCCAGCTGCAAGAGAACTGGCAACGTTGCTTATGTAGGTTTAAGTTAGGTACGTTTGTTGTACAATTGAAAGGTCCGAGTCTAAACGTTGAACTCCGTTGGTTTAATCTTTCAAACTCTGTGTACATCACATTTTGTAATGTACATCAAATTTTTAAATTTATTTGTTGAAATTATTTAACTCTATCGATATCATCTGAGATCTAATCTATGTACTTATATAATAATGTATATGTTGGAAAATAGTTAAAAATTTTGAAGAAAAATTAATTTTTCTGTATGGATTATTTATTAAAGTGCGCATGAATTGAATTGAAAAAATTTTTAATATGGTTCTAATAAAATCAGGTCTGAATTTAGATCCTAGTTAAATTTTGATTGTCCAACAAAATTATTTTCAAATATTCTGTATCTAAATTCTTAGATACTTCAGCAAAATCGTTTTTTTTTCCGTGTAAATATAAGAACATCTGAAATTCAAGAGATACAGAAAACGCGAAAACTTATTTTTAATTTTTATGTCTGAAGGAATTCAAAGAAATCACATCGAAGTTCTTAGTTCAGCCAATGTTTGTTAACTGCGATCAGCTAACAAACATCAACGAAATTAGAAATAAATCCTCCCATATATCTCGAAGATAACATATGGAAGTGAATGATCTAGACGTTAAATGCCATATCTCTTATTAAAGATTCCTCGATAATGATAAACGATATCAAAAGATATAGACAATCCAAATCGATAACACACATTATTTTATTCTCTCGATATAGAATGACATAATAATTTGATTCAGAAACACGTTATCCGTGTAAGGCAGTAGAAGTTCTTAAGAGAGCCACAAAGCCGCAGTATACTCTCAGCTACTTCTTTTGAACATTACAAAACACCAAGATATCCACAGAGGTCAAAATACTGCCATTATTCGTAAATCGATCTATTTTAGGCTACGTTCCAAAACTTCCTCTCCGAAAAAAATTTTACTCAACATATATAGTATTATACGTAACGTATAGATAGGAAGATGACCGTATTTTGATCTCTGTAGATCAACTACTATATATATATAATACTATATAGCATATATATAATCCTCGAAGAATTAGTATTGAAATGTAATCTTCTAATCTAGTATTTTGCCTGGCTCAAAGAAAATATCCCTTGGGATATTTCTATTCAGATAAGACTAGAGGTCAATAATCCTTCGTTTTACATTAAGACATTAAGAAAAGAGAGAAAAAAAGGACAATCCTTTAAAAGGCTTTAAATACATTACAGAAGATTGAAGAAGCAGGTAGAAAAGAGAAAAGAAAATATGAGATTTTTCACGTAGGGACTTTGAATTAAATTTTGATAAATTGTTCAAATGAATCGGTAATTCTGTATACTTAATTTTTTTTAATTTTTATTCTATATACATATATGTATATATTTTTTGTTTTCTCTTTTTCTCTCTAATATCTAATTACAGAATGTCCCACACAATTGATGGCACAAGCGGAAAAAAGAGTTTCTATGAATGATTCTATATGAAAAATAAGTTGAAAATGTAGAATAAAACTTTGATACATATTTTTTTAAATCATTTTGTTATATTGTGCATCCTTAAAGTATCCTTTTACGTAATGTTTATAAATGCATACATTTAACGACGATTGTTCTATTTCGAAAATAAAGTTTTGTATAAAACAGCTTTTTATTCAACATTTTCGATTAATTTTTTTGTAGAGTCATTTTTTATAAAATCTCCCTTGCGCTTCTCGGATATCTTGCATTGTCCATTTCATTTTAGATTACAACAATAAGTACAATAATAGACTGCGGAGCAACAAAGAACAGCTATTATGTTCCAAACAAACAACAGCTATTGTGTTCCAAATTTTACGTTTTGTCATTTATTTGAATTTCATATCTACTTGAAATTCTTTGTTTCCCAGATGATTTTGTTTTGCAACATATTTATTTTCGTATTGTTTCGCAAAAAAATCGTTAGTCAATTTTGATAGAAATTTTGAAAATTATAGTCGGTTTGTTGCAACTGTGATCAAAGTCTCGCTACAAATGCTTTGAAGCATTTGATGGATCAATTAGAAGAAAGAATTTTACAAACTGATCAATTAGAAACGCTTCAAAACGTTTGCAGCATCGCATTAATCGTACCCTGAATCTCTTTCGTTTGTTATTCTTCCACGTAAGTCGGTCGAGATTAGGTTCAAGGGTTAAGGAATTAGCTGGAAACATTCTTTTCAAATATAATTCAAAGAATCAAGTGTACAAAAAGCAAAACGCTTTCACCAGTTTCAAATTACTCGCTTTCTCTAAAAGTTTCTCTAATATCAAATGTCAATTATCAATGCTTATGTTTAAGAAAAAAACTGATCAATTAATTGGATATTTATTTTTAGGATCTAATGAAATATGCCAGAGAGCTCAGGGTTGTCATTCTGAATGCACTTATTAATTCTTGCCTTTAGATCCAGTGAAGATCTAAAGATAAGAACCAATCACTAAGCGATTAATTTTTTCCGCTGAACGCGGTCATTCTTTCCTTTTTTAAACTTGTTTAACGGCTGATCGTTTTATTGTGCCGTATTTGAATAATAGATACATGAACATGCTTAAACATTGAAAAGGAATCTAATAAGGAAAAAAACTTTGTTGTTATTACATGATAAAATTATTTTAAAAATTATACAAGCACCTAGCTTTAGCTCATTTTTTGTACTAATTTTAGGGCGACAAGGAATATGTAACATAGTGAATCATTAACATCCTTATTGTTTGCCAACGTTCACTGTGTTACCTGTGTTACCCTACCTCTTTGTTGGAAAACATCTTTAATTGTGATTCTAATTAAACCTTGCATTAATTAAATTAATTTTTCTTTTTCTCACTACAAATTATTTCTCTCCCGTTACATGGTGGTTTGCTTCCCGCAGACCCGCCCAGCGTTAGATAACAAACGACGCCGCGCAACACTGCGTCAAAAGGTACCGATAAAGAGGGGAGGTAGGAGAAAGATAGGGGAGGGGAGAGAGGAGTGGTAAATGGGAGAGGACAAGTAAACAAACAAGGCAATCAAATTCCAGGCATTTATCAGTTGTCATGGTCAACTGCTTTTATCGAATTCTCGGCTATAATATATATATATATATAATATATATATATATATGATTTTAATATTTCAATTTTTCTTCAACCATCCCGGATGTACTACTTTCTCGTATGAGCGTCAAGCAGGCAAGCGTTCATGCAGATGTACAGATGGTTAAAAGAAGAAGCACAAGGAAGAGAAAGTAGCAATTCTCTTGTTTTTTTTTTTTTATATAAGTTATCAAAGAATGTGATATATTATGATACATTGTGAAAAAACGTACCCAAAGATCGACTTGAGTGACTAAATTGTCGTGAACCGCTACTTGGCTTTGTCTTCCACACGCCACGGCTTTGTCCCTCAGCTCGATCCGTTGCAACCCGTTCTCTCCATCAATTTTGCAACCGTTTTGTTTCGCGAGTCGTGTCGTTTTGCGAACGTTTTGCGTTGCTGTACCGTACGAAGGGCTTCGTTCGAAATAGTTGCCCGTCTCTCGAGGAATTTCATACGATGCGATAGATGGATAAGACACGCACGGTATGCTACCCTGGCCGTTGAAGTTACGTAGACTCCAATAAGCAGGAGGCGCTGTCGACGGCTTCAGCACTTCCTGTAGCGCAATTGTCCGACGTTTATTCGAGCTGCCGCAAATCGTCGCAGCGCCGCCTGCACAGCTTGAGTTGTTATCGCGAGAGTAACGATAAGCCGTCTGTATTATAGCACAGTTGGCTTACAAAAGGCTGAGAGGCGTTTATACTAGTTTCTCTCTGTTCGGTATTGTTACAATATCATACTATAGCACTGTGATAGCCGGCACTGCCGATAGTAGTATTAATGATAGTAGTAACTCGTAGTAACTTGTATCCCCGCTCCCTCCCTTTCAACGGAGTGACGCTATTGGCGTCTGGGTTGCGTCTGAGTCGCGAATCACGAGGTAGGATTTTCAGGTAGGAACGGTCGCCACGTCACCACGAGGCTCCACGAGTACCCTTTCGTTTATGAGAGTCATGAGAGTCATGAGAGTCATGAGAGTCCAAGGGATCTCAAAAAGATGTGAGGCTTTATATTTTCAAGATCTTTTTTTTAAAACGGAACTTGAACTGCCATTTATTCAAAGTTTAAAATAAAGGTGTTTTTTGCACTCTTTAATCGCATATTGTTCCTTGAATGTCAGCCTTTACGATTTTTTTAAATATGTTAAAATTAAAAATTTTTTAAAGCCACTGCTTTTCTATGTTTTACAATGTTTAAAGTATGTTCAGTCATTTTTTTGTGATTTTAAAAAATTTAAGCTGTAAATATGGTAATCAATTAAAATGATGAGGTCATTTTGATCTCTGTGTAACCAACATAAAATTATCAGGTATGACCACGAAGGGTTAAAGGGGAAGGTAATATACGTGATCTATGAGTTGAGGTACTTTTTTATGTTCGACGCTTATTTTTAGCGTCAAAGATTACGTGATAAAACTGACGAATATCAAGCGTCAATTTTGAGCGGCAGCATGAAAAATTAGTAAATACTTTTACCGAGTATTTAGATGAGTTCATCGTCAGTAATCGGCTATTCGGCTATCGTAATTCACCTGATTCACCCGGTCTTACTTCTACATTCTTACTTCTACATTCCTTTGCCTTTGTGTTTTTCTCCTTTTTGTTTTTTTTTATTCTTTTTATCCGCTCACTATTTACCTTCACCTTCAAAAGCAAAAGACTAAGGGGCTACGCACAATAAAAAGGAACAGAGAACAGAATAAGAATTTCAACTTATTAAAAATCATGTATTGTGAATACACAGTTTCTGATATGTTGAAATTCTTATTCTCTGTTTTCTGTTCCTTTTATTGTGCGGAGTCCCACGTTCCTGGAAATAAATTAAAAATTTTTCGATTTTTTGATTTAGAACGAATCTATTCCATCCAAAAATGTATATGCGTATTTTATTTAAAAAGATTCTTTTTTAAATTCAATTGTTTTTATCTATAAAGCGGTATATATTGGTAAATTTTTTATAAATTGTGTTTTCATATCGTTATGAAATGCGAATGAAATTTACTTTTGTTCTTAGAGTTTTAATTTTATTTTGATTGAAATTTTGTTCCTAATATATGATTTGTATTCTGAGAATAAGATTTTACTGCAAATCTAATTATTATATAAAACTAATTCATACAAAAGTGATATGCAATGATTGCCCCACTATATAATTATAAATAAGTTAGTTTCCCTTTTAGTTTCCACTCCAAAAATTTAAAAAGTAATTTTGCCCTCGACATTTTTGTATTATTTTAATATGTTACTTAATTATATAATATAATTTTTCTCCATCTAATCTCAATCAAAATAAGATTTTTATTCGAAAGTCAACAAATCTAATGACACTAATCGCTTGAATTTTTTAATTAAGAAAAACCACTTTACATATCAAGAATTCATCACAAAGTCATCGTTAAAAGTATCCCGGATAATATTATGATTTTTCCTACAATGACTTCTACTTAATGTCCTTATTATGATTTTGTTTTCTAAAATATAAAAGTACAAAACACGAGAAAAAAATACATTATATTTTTTTAACGTTGCATTTATGGAGTTCAAGGGAAAGTTACAAATTCAATACGCTTCATCTGCGGTGACGATCAACACAGGAATGTAAGTAATTTCCTCGCCGTATCTACCCAGGGCGTTGATATGTGTTGGTACGGCTCTAACGACCGTGAAAGGTTAGTACATGCACAGTGGCGACGAGAAGGGTGAGCCTCGACTGCAAACGAAATCCCATTGAAGATTTATCAAGTATAAGAATTTCCAATACGCGGTTGCTCAATGAAATGAATACACACGCCACGTTGCACAGTGATACCAAGGCAGAAAAAATTATTCTTCAAAGTTTTACCTTTCAAATCAATCGCACTATAAGAATGAAGTTTAAGAGTTTTGAATATATCAGTATTGATTGAATTGATTTTTTCTTTTGATCTTTATTTTCTTTATAATATTTTAATCGAAAATAATATATACAATTTTAAATATGAAGAACTCTTCTCAAAAAACAATAAATAAATTATTGTTATTGCTATGAGAATATCTATCTTAAAAAATAAATAAGTTTTAAATTGAAAAAGATTTTTTTGTTACCTAAGCTTCTCTGATGTGTTTTTTTTTTTTTTTTTAGAACGAAAGATAATCTTTTTAATTTTAAGTATTATTAATATAGAGATTCGAGAGAAAAGTCCCGTAAACTCAATAAAATAATCTCTTAAATATCTTGAAAAGTAAGCATTTCTGAGAAAAATATTTTGTACTAAAGTTATGTAGTTTAAAATGCTTTATTTACTTATCTTATCAATTTGACCACGAGTGACGTCGTCAAGGTCAAGTCAAGGTCAAATCGATTTTTTTAAATGGAATGCCCTATTTTTGATGCCAGAATTTAATAGCTGGTGTAAAAAGCTTTTCAAAACATTATAATAAAGTTATTTTTCATTAAGTATTTTTCAAGTTATAAGACTTGAAAGTCATCTTCGTGGTCAGTTAGAAACGTCACTTAAGATACCTTTGAAAAAAGGTGTCTGACCAACGTCGCCGTCGGTCGTATAAACTTGATGTATATTACTCAATAAATCTTGTCTGTCTTTAAATAAAAAATTATAAGTCTAGAATATCTACAATAGAAAAGATAAATAATTTTTTTCTTAATATATACTCGACCGGCTTTACTGGAAAATTTCCTGTGAACAAAGCCGCTATGGGATCAATACGCGGCAAAAGAAAGAAATGTGAACTTTTCTTAAGATAAAGTATGACTAAAGTTATTTGCATCGAACAATATCCGCGCTCCGGGTGACTACTCTGTGGTGGGTCCATTATTTTTGGTTTACTTTCCATTTTTTCTGCAGGAATATAAATGTGACATATAAGTACAGGCGTACTAGAAATAAAAAGAAAGAACTCAAACATGTTTCTAAAATCCAGGCAATACTATATGGACCAAAAAGCAGAATATTTCGCATTTATCAGATTAGATTTCCAGTATTGTCTAAAATGAAATTTCCGGTCATTTTTCAAATCTTCCTTTGCTTTCTTTTTCTCTCTTAATGTTCTACCGACAATATATTGTACTTTCGATATAGTCGACTTTTTTTATTGTAAATTTTAATAGATTTAAATCTATTAAAAAAATGAAATACAATTCAAACATATTTTTATGATAGTAAAAACTCGTTATTAAAGTTTTCACAAATATGTAAGAATTTTTTTTTTAGATTTTTACGTATAATATATAATTCAGAACACAATATAAAAATTTGTGTACTAAAGTTCAAAGACCTATTAGATTCGGACGAAAAATAAAAATTTAATACGGAAGATTAAGAATTCCTCATGTCTGTTTCTAACAAACTATAGATTACTCTAATTATTTCTAAGAATTAGAAAAGCAGTAAGTTAAACGAGATTAAAGTTAATATTACATTGACGAGACCGGGCCTTAACACGTTTGTTACAACAACGGTTGAAGGAAAAGCATTTCCACAGTTCAGAATTTTTCTTGCAATACTTTTACACAAAAACGTTCAAAAAACAAACTTCATTTCTTTACTTAATAAATTTGCATAATCATAAAACGACAAATTAACAATGTCACATAATATATATGACGCCGCCGCCGAGCTGTCGAACAAATCAACATGTCACACATATGTGATGCATGACAGTGAACATGTTAAAACAATTTTATGTACAGGATGTTCTGTTTAGTGCAGGTATCACCGGAAAAGGGATGGTTTTATGCGAAAAAAAAACTACGTGAAAAATCGAAAATGTAAAATAAAATTTTTTATGAGAATAGCAAATTAACGTTATTTGTCGATCGTTATTTTAATATCAAAGTGATCGATATTCTCAACTATATTTACACACGATAAATTTTATTACTTTAAATTATTGAAAATGTTGCCCATTCTGTCGAATACGTCAATTCGTAAAGGCGTAGTTAATAAATGCACGCGTCCTTGGTGAATATTTGAAGTTATTAAAACTAGTACCATACTGACAAAATGACGACAAACAATAGTTTGCTATTTATAAATCAAAGCATGGCACATGATGAACTTTTCGACTCGTTTTCAGTTTAATTTTCCATCCTATATTGCGGATCGACATTTATAAGAACTCAGCAGAGCTCAGTGAGCTCTTTCCAATGAGAAATGACAATGGAATTGATCGTCGTTTCGACATCGAAATAATCAAATTGACATTGATGACTTACATCTGATTGGTATATTCCGTTCTAAAGATACAGACCAAACAAGTATACAAAAGTTCGAGCACTCAGTAAGCAGGCATTGTTCTGAGCGCACATGTACTGGTACCGGCAAATATTTAAGTCAATATTTTTCTGGAAAAATTCTTACAAAAACCATTTACGAAATGTATATCTCCTGCATGTATAGAATATCTTATGATAATGTAGCTCTCGTGAGCAGCTATAAACAGGCTACTATACCTAAAATAAATATTTCTAAAAAGGATCATTATCTTATCATGATATGACTTAATGGATTAAGCGTGACATTTCTAAAATTTATCACATCCGCTTAATCTAAATATATACGCCTACGAGAGTTCTGCGCATTTGATCGACACGCAATCGCGAATGAACGAATTCTCAGAAAACGCTTTTTATATAGGTAACCGCGCCACGTGTAAATTTCAAGGGCGCCACAAAAAATTAAATACTCTAAGCCTCGATCATCATATCTACGTCATATCTACGTCATAAAATTGACTAATAAGCAAGATGTATTT